TTCAAAAGGTAGGACGAAGGAAGATTCAGAAAGCTACAATTTAATAAAAGTGGGACATTCATAGAACATCCATAATTAACTGGACTGCTTGGCACAATGTTTAATCAGAGCTATGGTGCACAATTGCAGATAAAGTCTGCCCACAGCCTGGAGTTTGATGCTGACGGGGCTCAAGATTGACTCAGCCTTCCATCCTTCTCAGGGCAGTAAAACGAGGATCCAGATTGTTGGGGGCGATAGGCAAATAATGCTTCAACATTGTAAACCACCCAGAGAGTGCTGTAAATGCTATTGCTTTTGCTATTATGTCAGGAGTACAATAACCAGGAGCAGTCATTGAGTTTAAAGCACAGATGAGTTTATTACTATCTGTACACAAGAATCTGAACAGTCAAAGCTAACATGGCTCTAAATATGGATCAATGGAATTCATGGGGGGCTGGATTTAGGTCTGTCGTGGGAGCGCACAATGATTCCAAACCGATGACCTACCCACCTCTGGACCATTCCCACATAGCACGGGTCTCCAACCTTGCAACTTTAGCTGGCTGAAGAACTCTGGGAGTTGAAGTCCTAAAGTTGCCAAGGTTGGAGACCCCTGCCATATACCATTCCTGCAAGTCAGCAGGAGGTTGTAGATGGCTATTGGTGACTGTGGGGAGCTGTAACCTCATGGGAGTCACCTAAAAGTGCCATTTGTCCAGAATAATATACGTAGGTCTCCTGCTGGACCAAGTAGTTGGACTAGAAGACCTCCCAAGAACTTTTTCAACTGTTATTCTACCTTCTATGTTCTATACTGGAAGGTGGCATGACAATTGGGCCATCACATAGCAAAGCTTCTGTGCACTTTTAGACATGCTGAAGATGGAATGTAGAAGGCAGGGCAACACACTAAATGGTGCCATACATACAATATTTCCAACTAAAAAAAAGCTTGATAGACATCCAAAGAATGAGGCATTTCTAATGGAGTTGGGGGGTCATGGAAAAGGGACCATCTTGATTCAAGTGGAGAACCAGAATAGATTTTGTAAGGAATACATGGGGAAGGATGCCTTTGTAACTGTGTGAAAGAGGATGGACAGGCACTTGTATAAGAGCCACAGATCTCCAGCTTAATTCTGCTGACTGCCGGGGGTTTGATCCTCACCGGCTCAAGGTTGACTCAGTATTCTGAGGTCAGTCAGATGAGGACACAGATTTTTTGGGGGGCTGGAGGCTGACTCTCTAAACCGTTTAGAGAGGGCTGTAAGCGATATACGTATAAGTCTATTGCTAAGCCAAGGTTAAAATATTAAAAAGGCTGCCTTCCATGAGATGGAAGGCAATATGATCAGAAATCCAAACAGAACAAAGAAGTCTCAGGCTAGGTAACTGCAGAATAATAATTAGGGAATTATGATTTCATGGCAGGGCTGTAACTTCATATTTATCCAAATGAGACTCAAATGGGTTGGACGTCTCAGAGAAAGTTTATCATAGGTTGCCAACCTCATTGTGTTGAATGGGTGAAATAAAAGAGAGGACACCCTGAACGAGATTGGCCCATCTGGTTTTAACTTATATTGTAAAGATTGATCTGATTTAAAAATGTAAATGTAGCTTTAAATTTTAATCCAGAAACTTGGAATTTGTCAGTATGGCTTTACATAGTACAAGGCACAGAAGTTTTGTTTTCAAGCTTAGAACCAAAGCGCAAACCAGATTTGAAATCCTGCAGAAACATCTTCACCTTATTTTAAACTGATTCTTTATTAATAAAACAGAAATCTTGAGCAATATGTAGGCCATGTAATGGTGCTTAAAATCTGGACTTTCTCCATACGCAGTACTTTGCTTCCTTCTGTTTCTTTTTCAGTGCAATTCAAAAAATAAAAATATTAGCTTTATAAACCAGACCGCCTAATTTGGCAGAGAGATGTGGACACATTTTAAGTTTTAGACCAGTGATTACCAAGCAACCTGACGTGATTACAGAATATGTTAATTCATTACTGAAAACACACACCAACCCTTAAAAATACGACTTGCTAAAGTAAAGTATTTCCTCCAAGTTTGCTTTCGGAAAAATTAAAGCATCCAAGTGAAAGAAAATTATTCAAAATGAAAACAGCAGACTTTTTGCATCACTTCAGTATTCCATTAGAATATTTTGGGATGGCAAAACCAGGAAAAAATATTACAAGATGCTGAAAGGGTTGCAAATTGCCTAAACAGTAGGGAGATTCTTGTCAGTACAAAGCAGGGCCAATCCCTTCTTTTAGAGAAAAAATTCACATTGCAGCATTTCAAGGCACTGGAAGCAGAGAAATCTCAGGGTGCTCAGCAAATTCTTCTGGTAATTGAAAGGATCAAATAATTGCAGGGGAAGTGTTGTTTTAGTCCATGGTAGCTAAAACTCTGAGAGCCTGGTAGCATCTTTTTAAAGTAAAGTTAATTAGGAAGTGTAAGCTTTTGTGAGCTGCAGCTTATGCCTTTCAATTAAAAAATGGTCACTATAAAACAGTTCATTTGGTGTGGGCAACTTTGAGGTTTGAGCAATGCTGGCTAGGGAATTCTGGGAGTTGAAGTCCACACCTCTTAACGTTACCAAGGCTTAGAATCACTACTCTAAAATTATATTTTTTTAAATGATAAAGCGGCTGTCCATCTAAGGTCATTTTACAATCAGAGCTTTGATTATTCCTTTCCCTCCACCTCAAAGGGCCAATGGGATAAGGCTAATGGGAACTGTAGTCCAGCAGTTTCAGAAGGCGGACTCCTCACCAGGAATATTGCTGGCCTAATTTTAATGCACTAAGCTTCTGTTTTGCAATTTTTCAAGGATTCGTTTTCCTAAAAATTTCTCATGACACAAACTCCATTAATGTCTTTTCTATTGTACTAGAAGGGAGTATTTGCTCCGCAGACAAAGCTTGAACCCAGAAACGTGTTCAAGATGCACCCATATCTTCAGGGGTGTGTAGGAATCAGGCAGCTACCGACAGCCTGTCTTGTACTAAGCCAGGATTAATCACAGTTTGCTGGAGTAACTGGCCCACATTGAACCAGGAGAAATTATAAACCATGACTTAACAGTTCACTAATGGAAGAAGAAAAAGAAAAAACAACCCCAACCTACCACAGCCTCATGGTTTAAGTTGTGCAAATCCAGTTTATTTGATAAACTAGTTACGTTCCCCTTAAACTTTCTATAAAGGATGTGATGTCCCTGGAAAAGCTAACTAGTCAAGCTTTTAGGACCAATTGTTAACCGGGAATTAATACACACTTGGAGAAGGTACATTTTTATGGGAAAATATTGATTGCTCTGGCCCGAAGTGAAGCAGAACATACTGACAGAAATTAAGTATTACTTTTATTTTGGTTGCTATAGGAAAAAAAAAGTGTAACATATCAATCTCTCTCAAACTCCTTGGAATTATGACCTATTCCAATTTAGGTCTTCACTGCACTTAGCTGTATTTATGTCACTTTCGTGCTGCAATTGCAACGCTATGTATATTATTTTTTCTATCAGTACCAACATCTTGCTTTTTAAAATTCAAGCCAAGAGAAGCCACTTCACCTTATTCCTGAATGAGGTCAATTTCAAAAACGTTTGCCCTTTGATAAAACAAAAACCCTGTCTTAAATAACATCTCCCAAAACTATACTTGCAAGGAGAAGTCGTCTTCGACTCACTGAAGTAAAATTTTATAGAAAATTTTATTCAACATACAACATTTTTTTTCCAGCCAAAAAAGGCAATATACAGGAAGAATCATTGCACACTGTAGCTACAGAAACAAAATAAAACAAAAAACAAAACGGGAGGGGAGGAGAGAGGATAAAAAGAGAAGGAAGAGGAGATAAGAACGAAGGAAGGGGTGAAGATAAAGAATACGAAATTAAAGGAGGGAAAAAATGAAGGGAGTGTAAATGGCAGATTCTAGTTTTACTCACTCCCAAAAGAAGAAAAAAAAGTAGATATTCCACAAAGGTTGCCATTAGCTCCAAACTAAAACAGGAAAGGAGGCTGGGACCGAAATAAAACTACACACAATGAATATTGACATCTGAGGAATTCACTGGCAGACGCACCCTGCCCCCCTCCCCTCCCCGGCAAAAAGAGAAAACTCCAAGTGTTAAATTGTACATGTTTCCTTTGTTAAATATACAATTCTGTTTTTTTGCCCCCTCCCAAGCTCCCTGCCCCTTTTTACAAAGTCAACGGCTTACTAAATGCTAGTGAACGTGGCCTCAGTGCGAAAAAGCGAGTTTGCTCGTCTTCCTGGATTAGCTAAAATTCAATATAAATCAGGTGATTCCCTCCCTCCCTTCTGCAATCCCCCTGAGATGCCAGCTGCCATACTTGGGCATTAATTGATAATCAAATCCTTCTTCCGAGCAGTTTCTAAAAGGAATATAAAGATGCCACGGCTCTTTCGAGGATTTTGAGTCTTCCTTGGCAAAAAGTGATGTGGGGAGTTAGTGAAGGGGAGGGACTTGACTCAAAAGTCTTTTATTTAAAACAATAATAATAATAGAATAATAATAATAAAAAGAGAATTCCTAGGCTGATTGAAAAGACGTTTCTGCCCCGAATAAGTGCCAACAGTGTACACAATGAAATAGAGATTGCTATTTATTGATGATGTGAGTTTCTCTTCGCATTTACAAATGCACAAAAATTTCACTTAAAGTATATAACTGAAGGAAAGAAATCAAACGTGAGCCTAACCATAGTGCCAGCTAGCTGCAGTGATGGCAGGTACCACGCATAGGGGATGGGTGGGTGGGGAAAGGATCGGGCGGGGGCGGGGGGGGGGGGGAGAAAGGAGGGAGGGCAGCCCGCACAGACTGTGCCCTTAAAGGTACTACAGACAAAGAGTTTGCCAATGTCAACTGTCCTATTCGACCCTCTTCCCTTCTTTTATGCTGACCATCTTGCTTGGTTCCCCATAAAAACTCTCATTGGCACCCGAGCTTTATTTTTTTTTTTATAAAACACCTTCATTTTTTTTTGCTCAAAAAAAAAGAAAAAAGAAAATAGAGGGCAGTCAATAATAGATATACAGAGAAGCCAAACTGAACAGCCTCAAAATAAAATTAATAAATCAGCAGCAAATTGTCTTGCTGGAGACTCCCGATCTCAAGTGCACGTGTACCAAAAGTCCTACAGTTGTTAAAAAGGTGCGCGCACGCACGCACACACACACACACGCACGCACACACACACACTTATCGTTGCCCCTTTTTGCCTCGAACAAACTGGAGAGGGTAAGTCAGTTATGGATTTTAATAGCTTTTTCAAGGTACGTGTAGCGGCTTCTCTTTGGGGCTTTGTTGAAATGATCGAGCCCGAGCCATGGCCTGGGATGAGACATGTTGCCTGGAGGAAGAAAGAGAAAGGATGAGTGAGTTTCTACAGTAGGGGTGTCAAACTCAAGGCCCGGGGGCCGGATTCGGCCCACAGAGTGCTTAGATCTGCAGGCCATCTTGGAAAGACTGGCCCGTGGTGCCTCTGCTACCAAAAACGGAGCTCAGGAGAACTGCGTGCGGCCCTCGCAAGCTCCATTTTCACTGGCAGAGGGATGCAGGAGCCCATTGCAGCCGAAAATGGAGCTAAGGAGAACTGCGTGCGGCCCTCACAAACTCCGTTTTCACTGGCAGAGGGATGCAGGTGCCCATTGCAGCCAAAAACGGAGGGTTTCGCTGGCGGAGGGTTGCAGCTGAAAAAGAGCTCAGGAGCCCGTTTTCACTGGCAGAGCGCTCTGGCCACCACAGGTGCACCTGACATGAGTGACATCGAGCTGGCCATGCCCACCCCAGCCCTCAGTGGTCAAACACAATCCTGATGCGGCCATCAATGAAATCAAGTTTGACACCCGTTCTAGAGGGTTTGCTGTGACACCTGAAGAATTGTGACACAGGATCTGCTCCACCTTCAACCTGAAGTAGCTCCCACTTAGTTTGAAGAGCACAAACAACACAACACAACACACACACTCATATAGAAACACACACACCCCAGCCCCCAAATGAAGATAAATGGACCCTCACCGGGTTGGGGCTCAAAATCTTTCAAGTTCACTTCATATTCATCTTCATTAAGATACTGGTGCCGGCCCATCATTACAATAGCAAACTTAAACTTTAAAGAGAAAAAAAACACACAACAGAAGATTTATTTACCGCACTTCGGTGACTAGACTGCCACAAAAATTAGGGACGAGTACAAGCTGAGAGAAAACAAGAAACTTTTAGAAAGATCAAAGCATGCCCATGGTTATGTGAGCTTTAGGGGGCGGTGCTCATCTCCATTTCAAGGCCATTGGGCCAGCGCTGTCCGAAGACGTTTCTGCGGTCATGTCATCACGGAGTGCTGTTACCTTCCCACTAATGTGGTAACTATTGATCTTCTCGCATTTGCATGTTTTCGAATTGCTAGATAGGCAGGAGCTGAGGTGAGGACGGGAGCTCACCTCATCACATGGCACTGGGATCTCGAACCTGGGCTGCTGGTTTTCCAGCCGACAAGCCCAGCATCTTGATACCTCAATTTACAGCCACAATGACTTATAGTTATAATTCTGGCCTCTATCCATGTTTTCCTTTCTATTAAACCTGACTTGTTTTGGTTTTTTTTACATCTCCAATACAAAATCCAACATTTTAAACATAGAATATTATAAGTATTTACATTTACAAAGCAATTCTAGGCAGTTTTATTCCTAAGAATGTAAGCGAGAACTTTGTGGAGGGGAAAGGTGAGGTCCTTACAGATTTAATGAAGTAGATGAAAAGAAGGAACACCCTTTTCTTCTACCTCACTCTCATGCCAATTCTAACACCCACCATCCTTTGCAAAGTAACAGATGTTCTACTTCACATCAATACCTTTTCAAATTCCTTCTCTTGGATGTCCAGGACTGTCTGAATCCTCTTCATCACTTCTCGAAAATGCTCACCCTAAAAGCATCAGAATTCCAGAGATACAGGACATTAATTATAGCACGTTAAAAGTCTATCAAGCATATATTCTGCTAGTTAACTGTAGATTTAGGTCTATTTTATACATCTGAGATGATGCTGGACAATGCTAAAAGCCTGCTTTGTGTCCATGTGCTGTATAAAAGTTGAACAGTTGTGTGTGCACATTTTTAGAGTTTTTTTTTTTTTTAGAGATTTTATTAATATTTGTAGGCCGCCCTTTTCCCTGAGGGGACTCAGGGCGGCTCACATAAAATCAGGGAGGGGGAAT